AAAAAAAAAAAAAAAAAAAAAAAAAAAAAAAAAAAAAAAAAAAAGAAAGAAAATATTTCAAATTTCTCTAAAAAAAAATTTATTTTATAATAAAAAAATTACTTTATAATAAAAAAATTTTCTTTATAACTTTATATGTTTTATATGATAAAAATGATAAAAAATGAACTTTATATGATTATTTATATATAATACTCCTATCTCCTATCTCCTATCAGTAATTTTTAATTTTTCTCCTTTTCTTTTCTCCTTTCCTCCTTTCTTTCTTTAAATTTTTGGAATTTCTATACTAAATCTTTTTTTGGATTGACCAACTACAATTGGTTTGATTTCTCTCAACCCTCTTTTTACGTTGTTTTTCTATGAATTGATTTGCGGTTTTTTTCTGGTCGCACAAAACGTATGATCGCCCGATAAATTTTGGCGTGTAACCGCCTAATCTACCTACCTTATTTTTTCCCTTTCAATCCACAACAAACCACAAACCACTATATATATCTGAAATATATATATATATAATCGCTTTATTATCAGCCACATTTTAACTAATGTTCCCCGCCATCAAAAAATTTTTTTTTAATTGTGATCTTAAAAATGGTATGAAATATAATCAAAAACGTAAACTTTCATAATAATTGAACTCAGCTGACCTGGCTGAAAGAAATTAGTATGAATACGCGGAATTTCCGATTAATTATATACATGGTTTTTTTTTTATATTATAAATAGGTAATACGATTTTTAAAAGATTCTTTTTTTATGGTAAAGATATACTTGCTAATTGATATATTTGGTCGGTTGTAAAATCCATATATATATATTTATATATAAACCATTATTATTATCATACTTTATATAGTTTCATTGTTCCATTTTAATTTATATTAGCTTTTATCCGCCACGCATAAGCCAAGTATTGATTTAGTATTTCGTTTTATTTGACGGGGATTTTACGAACAAGGTTATCTTGTATCTGTCAATCAATGATCAGATGTGAGATGAAATCTTTAAAAAGGTTAAACAAAAGAGAAAAAGTTTTTCGAGAAAATGTAAATAAAAAAATTTGAAATTTTTAAAATTTTTTTTTTTTATAAATACACATTATAAAAAAAAACCTTAAAAAATTTTAATGCCCATGCGTTATATGCGTTAAATACTTGACTAAAAAAACTCTAAAAAACTCTAAAAAAACTCTAAAAAAAACTCTAATAATCTTCTTTTTTTTTTTATCTATCGATCGATCGCATCAAAAATATCATTTACTCAGTGAAATAAATAAATATGTATATGTATGTATATTAATAATGAATTGCTTCTCAAAAAAAAAAAAAATCTCGAAGAATGTGAAACGTCATAATCGAATCATTTTTAACTTTTTCCTTTTTCACGAGTTAAAAAATTTTCCATGTGTTATTTACACCTGATTTTAATTTTTTTTTTATGAGAAGATCTCAAAAAACCTGTAAAACCTGAAAATAACATTGTAAAGCAATATTTTAAGAAACGAAATAATGAATAATCTTTTTGGTATGAATAATTTTAATTTTTTGGGTAAGTTCATTTTTTTAAACTTTTTTATTTTTTTAAACTTTTTCTTTTTTATTTTGTTTATTATATTATATTTTACATTTTTATTTTTTTTTGTCGTTTTTTTTTTAAGGTTTGTTTACATAAAAGATCTTAAAAACATTCATGATTACTATTTTTGGAAGTTTAATCATCGATAAACTTTTTCCTAGAAAATTTTTCTTTTTAAAAAAAAATTTTTTTTTTTTTCAACAAAGAAAAATACTTTATTATAATACTACCATATTCGGTTCATTTCCCCGCAAAAAA